AGATTTGGGTTGGGTAGATGTAATTTTCTTTCCATATTTTAAGGTTTTAATTTCCATTTTAACAGTCTTATTTTATACTTGTCTCATATACTTTAACGTGTTACCTATCCTTTTTGGAAATTGGAGGAAATCTCAAATGGATGTAAGTAGCTTCCTGTGCTATACTCCTCCCAGGAGCAGAGGTCCTCTGTGTTTGTAGTGATGGTGAGGTGGTGCCCTGTGGGCTTCCAGGAAGCTCAGCATGGAGTTTCCCAGATTACTAAGTCAGTATGCAGTAAAGGAAGCTGTTTATAACCTGATTTAGAAATTCAGTCTCATCTGGTTTTATGGAGTTTTGTGCTATTTAATATCAAGTGCTAAAATAGCAAGACAGCCAAAAATATATTCAAAGAAATAGAATATTTTAATTGTAAAACTGACCTCTATGGGGAAACAGACTTTTATGTTATTACAATAAGCTGTATTGATCACCACGATTTGTAGACCCATTAGAGTGTTCTATATCAGAATGACTAAAGGACTGAGTAAAGATAGGGAACTTTAGGAACAGTGATTCTTTCGCATTTTCTGCTTTTATACATGGAGGCCTCTGGGCTGAGCTGGGGTGGGGGGTGGGGCAGCACAGATTGCTCTTATGGGACTAATGCTCATGGACCTGTTTATGCATTATTTAGCGAGGTTGACCTGTAGTCAAATTGAAAACCACCATACTTAACTAGGAAAGAACAAAGTCCAAAGCTGTGCAGATTGGGTTGATTCAAGCACATCTGGGAAGTACATCCCTGGGCATTTCTGTTGGCTTCAGGTCTAGGCTCACAGCTGGACGAACAGCGGTTTGTCAGTTATAGCCCTTGACCTGACCCTCACCCTCCCCTCCCAATGTCTCCTTCATTCCTTCCTCCATCCTTCTCTTCTGTGGGTTTGGTGAGGGCTAGGTGCTGGAGGGCAGCAAACAGGATCAGATTCCTTCTCAGAGGTGACGTAGATTTGGACTTTTGCCAGTCATTTCCAGGGTGCCCGGGATCTAAGACCCCTGATGTCCTCTCTATGGGCATATAGGGCATTGTTCTCGAGAGTCTTTGAGGGAAGTTGGCCTTTCAAGATGGATGGGCGGGGGCCTTGACTTATTTATCAGGGCTGAACCTGGAAGTGGCACAGAATCCTCTCACGGACCCTCCAACAAGGTCAAGCTGGAGACCCAGCTACCCATGGGTTTGTGTTTTTCAGGTTGTGTTCACTGAGAACAATGCACAGGAATTATTAGCAGTGGTGGCTCCGGGAGGTGATGGCTTTCAGATCCTAACCTTTGTTTTCCTTACTCATTGCCTGATTCCTGTAATTAGAAATCAGGGGTTCCTGTTTCAGTGCTGTTTATGTTACTATTTTTTAAGTGCTGCCGTTTACTTCTGTTAGTAAATCAGGTTTTCAGAGATGATATCAGCTACCAAATTTGCTATCTTTATCATAGCTATCGATGAACAGTAATGGTTGGTGAATAGTGTGAATTTTAGAGATGTGGTTAATAGGAGAAGGAGTCAAATGAAAATGATTACTTATTTGGTTCTTAGAATGAAACCAGAGTTGACTTTCCTTTTACCTTTTAATCATTTGTTCATCCATTCATTCAACAAATAATTAAGTACCTACTGTATACCAGGGCCAGCTTTACATTCTTATGTAAATGTCTCCACTTATTAGGAAAAAAATTGCTTTTTCTCTGAGAGAGACAAAAAGGTACCATAATATGTAGTTAGGAAGGGAAGCAACCTCTAGGCTTGGTATAAATAATCCGCATGGAAGAAACAAATCTGTTTTGAATATGATTGAGATGAAAGAACTCCTGAGAGCTGGGACATCCACCCCCGCTCTGTGGAGCTCCAAGCAGGAACTTGGGAGTAACTCATTATTCTTAGTCCTTTTTCGGTCCAGGTAGGATCCCCAACTGTACTGTGAGGACCCTGAGCAGATGATGTGGCCCAGGGTGAGATACTAGCCACTGCTCCCAACCCTCATGGTCTGACTGGTTTATTCATGTTGGCGCAGGTCGACCAGCTGGCTGTCTGGTGTTGCCATCGTCATAGCAACCAGGATGTTTCTATAACAGTCCAGATTGGGGGCCTATGGGGTGGGAGGAATATGGATGGATCAGACTGCATTCATACCGGCGCAAGATAACTCAGCATTTTCACATATTTAAGCATCTGTTTTCAGAGAACTCTCTTCTTTCTCTTTTATCCTGACAGTCCCCCTTGAAGACGTGTCAGCTACTATTGCTTGTGTTCTGAGGCTCTGTGGAGAATAAACAGAAACAAAATCCCGGTTGTGTGTTTTCTACCAATGACCATCTCCTTTAGACTTTCAATAAAGTATTTTTCCTCCTTTTAAGAGACACAGGAACTTGCAGCTAAATATTTAATTTGTTGCAAAAAAAATTTCAAAAGGAAATATGGTCAGTCCTAATTCACATCATAAAGGTGACAGCTGGAAAGTCAACAAAGTCAGGCTGGCTAGTTTTGAGGTTAAAGGTTTGTGAATGCTGCAAAAATGCGCAGTTTCAGAAACAGAACTGGGAGGCTGAAAGCGCCCGTTTCAGACTTGGCGAGTGTGCGGTGGCCATCCTTTCGTGTCAACTCAGTGACCAGGAAACCTGCACCTGCTCCTCTTTGCACCTCCCACCTCCCCCTCCCTCTCTGGAGAAGCCCACTGAGCCGCATCCTACCCTTCCCTGCCTGTGGGTTCATCACTTACCCTGCATAAGTATGCATGTGCACATATGACCTTTCACATCTGCCAGAAGACTTCAGAGAATCTGTCTTATGACATTTAACAACTGACTTGAAGCTTGGCTTAGATTCAGATGCCTCTTACCAGATTGGCCATGTTTTCATTTGCTTAATTAATGTAACACTGGCACATTCTGGGAGCATCTTAATGTTAAGGTGTTTTAAGGGTAGTAGTGGCTATGAGAAAACATTTATTTGTTATCTCTTTTCCTTCAACCGATAGTCATTAATGATTCCTTGATGATTCCCAAAAGAAAAAATTCTGGAATCTTTTGAATTAGAAGAGTCTTAGAGCTGATGGAGCCTTAGAAATTTCTTGCTTTTACAGTTGGGGCAACTGAGGCTATGTACAGGAAATGACTACATGCACAGATTATTACTGGTGCTGTTAGAAATCCTAAAAAACACTTTGGGGTATCAGAAATAAGATATATTGGCATAGAAAGCATCCACCCAGTTATTGAATGACTTCTATTAACTTGCTGCCCTACTCTGTCTCAAGTAATAATAATGGAAAGTTAGAAAAACTTCGAACAATTTATCTCTGGCCTTTGGAAGTTCCAGCATGCCACTTTGTAAACAGACATCTTTTCAAACTCCCATGTGAGTTATAATGTATGTTTTTGTTGGGGTTATGAAAAAGGTGTGGCCACACTGGGTGGCTTTGATGCTAAGCAGTCGGCACTAAGCTCTGAAGATGTAGTTCTGAGCAACTTCTACTGTGGTATTGGTTTGGTTTCTGGTTTTTTTTTTTTTTTCCTTTACCAGTATTAACAAGAATGAGGTCGGTTGGCCCTGTGTACAGGTGTTATCAGTGCGTTGTTTTTTGCATGGTAGAAGGTGCTCAGTACTGTCTTCCTAACACTGGGTCTGGTGCCTGTGGATACCAAGGGCCACACATCTTTAGAACCAATATGACTCAGAGACAGGGAAGGCTATGGGAGGTGAGAAACATGTTTGAGACATTTCTTCCATGTAGTGGACTTCACCTGGGCATCAGCTGTCCGGATTGAAAGCTACCTCTCATTCGTACCTGCTCATGCCCAGTTCACAAGTAAACAAGACTGTTTGGACCTGCCCTTCATGTTTGTTCTGAGCTTCTAGCAGAGTATGCTAGCAATTGTGGTTTTGATAACGATCTCTAGACAGACTCTGGGTCAAATAGGGAGTTATGATGGTGTGGGCATTTTTTGCAGGGCTGGCCAAGCACACTGGCTTTCTTGAAGTTTCCTCCTTTTTCTCCAAATGTACTTCGAAGCTTCATCAGGCTTCTGTGTTTAGAAAGGGGTGTGTGTGTGTGTGTAGGGGGAAGACACTCAACCTATAGCAAGTCTCTCTTTCTTGACTTTTCCCTAACTGGCTAATCAGTCTGTATTTTAAAGAGCTGTAGTTAATAGTTTACTCTGGTTAATAAAGAATACTCCTTAATTATTGCCCCAACTTTGACCTACTGCTATCAAATTAAATTCAAAGTAAAAAGGGACCCGGGGGATGAAAGGGTAAGCTAAATGCAGGGTAAGCTAAATGCGGTACATATATACAATGGAATATTGTTTAGCCTTGAAAAGGAAGGAAATTCTGGCACATGCTACACAGCATGGATGAACCTTGAGGACATTGATCTGAGTGAAATAAGCCAGACATACAAGGACAGATACTATCTGATTCCACTTCTTTGAGGTTTCTAGAGGAGTTAAATTCATAGAAACAGAAAGTAGAAGGGCGGTTGCCAGGGCCTGGGGGGAGGAGGAAATGGGTAGTTGTTGTTTTGCGGAGACAGAGTTTTGTTTTGCAAGATGAAAAACTACTGGAAATTGGTTGCACAATATACATATATTTAACACTATTGAGTTGTACACTTAAAGATGGTTAAGATGATAAATTTTAATTTATATGTATCTTACCATAATTTAAATATTAGAAAATTGAAAGGACTGGTGTGAGTAAAACCAAACAAATAATCCTAGTTCTTAGGTCACTGGACTTCTACTTTTATCAATTTGTTTTAGAGGTTAATGTGTATGCTATCTTGCATCTTAACAGTACAAATGGTATTCTCATCGATATTTTGACTTGTAGTAATAAGAAAACCAAGATAAAAGTAAAAGCAGGTGCATTGCTATGAAATAAACCCATTATTTGTAAATGTGTCTGTGATAAGCAAAGGATGGAATAATTCTATGCTATGTCGATAATAAAGTCATACTTGCTTTTCAGGTGAAGCCAAAAATCTTCCCACTTACCCGGGGCCAAACAAGATGCGAGATTGCTATTGCACCGTGAACCTGGACCAAGAGGAGGTTTTCAGGACCAAAATTGTGGAGAAATCACTCTGGTAATGTCTGCTTTTGCTTTGTTTAATACTGATAAGTTTTCTTCTGTATGGAAAATAGCCTGAATACACGTCATCTTGCCATTTTCTGTGTTTGAGTGAGGATTAGGAAATATTCACACGGGCTCTGGCTTACAGGGCAATTGTAGCCTGAGCTTCCATCCTTGGTGGTGAACTGATATTCCCTAAATGCTCGTAATGCCTAGGATTGAACAGCAGAAGGGAACAAAGTGAACGTACGTAACTTTATCTGCCTACAAGATACATATGAGTACTTTTTAATTAGAGATGAACTGGAAAATGTATACTGTAACAAAAGAGTGCAAATCAAGGATTTTGAGAGGGTTAATATTTGGAATAAATATTTAATAATAGGTTTTGAGGTTGAGAAGTTTGCTATATAACAGAACATCAGTACTTCTCAACTTTAGCTTGCCAAAGAATCATTTGGAGGTCTTGGTAAAACACAGATGTCTGCCCCGGACACATGGGGTGGGGCCGTGATTTGCATTTCGAACAAGCTTTCAGAAGATGCTGCTGCTGCGGGCCCTGGACCACACCCTGAGAGATAGAAAGTGATAGCACCCTAAAAGTCACAGCAGTTTACATAGGGGACGGGAAGAAATAAACCAGAAACTCGCAGGGTGAGGCAGCAGAATATCTCGTTACACACGTGTTAGCAGATGGAGGTGGGGGTTAGTCGTTTGTAGTCTGGGGGAAGCACACCAAAGCCAGTAGTGGGGCCCTGAG